CCCCAAAACCCCAAAACCCCAAAACCCCAAAACCCCAATTAGTTAAAACAACATGGAATTATGGAAAAATATATTCTAGTCCTTGGATTAGGGGTTGTCCTTGGAGGGAGACGTCTGTGATCTCTTGCTTAGACCCAGGATGTCATAGAAATCATTCCCAGTATCTTCCATCACTTGCTCCTCATGCATGTTACCATCCTGTTGGATATGGGAAATATCTTCCTTCATAACTTTTCAATGAGAAATTTTTAAATCAGGGATTTCTCTTTGTAGGATTGAGAGAAAGTCATTTTTGACTGGTTCTTGCTCCATTTCATAGTCGTCATCTTCCTTATTTTCCTCCATTTCATAGTCCTTCTTAGGGGTAGCTCTCAGACCTACTTCAAACACGTTAGGGAATGGATACTGATTGCCAAAAAGAAAAGAAGAGTATCTACACTAAAAACTAACTTTACCTTGAGGTTCTTTATATGGAGTTCCCTCCAAAGAAGTCTTGACATTCTTGCATGAGGCTCACTTTCAAATAGGAGTGCAAGGAAGGCCAGCCTGGAAGCATTCACAATATTTATTTAAGACACCCTGACTTCTTACATGCTCACCCTTTACTGTGTCTGGGAATCGGAGAGGCTACTCCAGCTATGGTATTGCTCTGAATACTCCCTGCAATATTTTTCGGCTGCTTTGCAGCTACTATTTTAGGTCTGAATGCGTTTGGATTTCTCTCAATGGTAGCGCTGATAGCAGCAGCTCTATTTCTCCTCGTGTTGGAGATTATTTTCGCAGTTGATTCAGTTGCACATTCTATAGGTTCTGGCTCAGCCTTACCCTCAGTAGACTCCTGCTTTGAATCACTCTCAGTAAAGCTTGAGGCATCTAGAATTCTTTCAATTTCAGTTGCGAGGAGGTGTAGTTTCCATATTTATAGCTCTTTCTTGAATGGATCTAGAACAAAGTTAGCAAAATAATTGAATGGCCCATTATTTATCAGGAAAAACATAAAAACATTTGGGTAGTTCTTCTAAAAGGCCAGGCTCGAAATTCCTCTATAATGCTCTAAATTTTTCTGTTAAGGATTGTATGTTCAAAAATTGTGTTGTTGATTTTTAATTTTAACGAAATCTCGCTTGTTCTTCACAAGTAGCCATCATTGACATACAAAATACCCTCGCTAGGTGTCCTTATATCCTAAAAAGATGTTTACCTTCCAATCTGGAAATTTATAGAGCCATCTTCTCTCTCATGAAGGTTGCTACCATCTTTGTTTGGTTCCATATTTAATATATTTGTTTTTTATTTTTGAAATTTTAAATTAGAGCACTAAAACATTAGTTAATGGGGTTTTGGGGTTTTGGGGTTTTGGGGTTTTGGGG